AACGACTCTTCTTTCTTTACCCTCAGCTTTCTTACTTCGCCACTTGCATTCGTACCGATCTTTGTCCTACTTAGACAACTATTGGCTTTGTGTGGTCCCATACATAGGAAATACTTTAGTGGCTTGCGCTTATTTACCCTCGATTTTTCTGCTTTACCACCCGTATTTGCGCCAAGCACAACTCCTGATTTGATTGCTTTGGTTATGTCAATCTCACCAACTTTGACTCATCCTCTTTTTGGCTCGTCTTCACCCTTGACGAGTGCAACAAGGCGAATCTTTTTGGGACACCCTCTAATCAAATGAGGACCATAACGGAAGTAGCATTTCAAAGGCCTACCTTTTCTATTTTCAGACTTGGTCTTGCCACAATTCCCCAATGACTTGTTCCAACCATGATCAGTCGAAGACTTTCCTGAGTCACTCGAAGAGCTTTCTTTGTCATCTATCCACTGTCCCTTGTCGTGATCTCCCCTACTTTCGTCCCTAACACCAAGCATGGGTCTGGATGATTCACTATCACTTGACTTGACTTCTGCAAGTTCTAATTATGACTCGCTACAGCTCAAACTTCCGAACAACTCTAGGTATTACCTTGCTTTTCTGCATGCATCACCCCTGGTCTAAGTCCTTCTAAGAAGATCTTGTATGCCCTACAATCACTCATTGCACTCATGCACATGAGTAGCTCATACTTGAGCCCATCCATCTTTTCCCTCAAAGTTGCTACCTCAACCCTGAGCACATTACTCATCACCAGCAATGACCAATCGTTGAGATTTTGTTCCACCACGACCTTGAACCCATCTCTCATGGCTCCTAATTGTTCAAGACGTGATTTCAGAACTTCTTAGATCTATTTGGCTTCTTCAACAAAGCTTTCAAGGTTCTCGATCTGCATCTCCAATGGTTTTGTGGCTTCTCACATTCCTTGCCTTTCTAGTACGACCACACCAACAACACCATGGCTCTTAACGCCATTTTCTGTGGGAATATCTATTTGTTATGTCATATAGATCACATTTTCCCCAAACAAACTAAAACAATCACTGAATCCACAATGACTCGATTCATCACACTATGACATACTTGTATGCTTTTCGACCACTTGTCTTGAAACAAGCTCTGTTATCACTTCCCACCAAGTACACTCGATCACTTATTGTCTCGCCACAACGACTCGCTCTGATACCACTTGTCACGGTGTTAGACTTCTGCTAGTTGATTCGTGCGGTACTTAGTTGATTTCTAAGTTGAAAGAGCGCCTAAGTCAGCCTTCACCACTTTTTATGAGACTTGGGCTCACCAAGTGATATAATAACCCGCTATGGTTAGACCAATGATGTAGAAGCTAAATACCAATGGGGCTAATCCAAGCCACTATGGTTGAACAACTCTGTGAAGCATAAGCACTTTCGAAACTCTCTAAGTCTTAAAGACTTAACCCACTTTAGAACTCTGAAAGAACTGTGGGAAAGTAAACACTCTCGAGGCTACTCGATCTTCACGATTGGCAACACAAGCCATAAAGGCTTAAGCACAAAGAGAAAACAACCTAACAAGCTTATGTAACAAAGCCACAAAGGCTAAAAAACTAGAAACAAAGGCAACAAGGAAACAAGGAATAGTTCAAGAGTAAATGCATGAGTTTTATTACTCTCTGAAGAGAAGATTTCTGATGGATGATTGCGGATGAACTCTCTATTTATAGTTGAGGCCCAAGAAACCAACGGTCTAGATCAAAGTACATCAACAACTTACATTGAATCCAATCATATCAAAACTCTATCTATGGAATTTGAATTCAAACAACATTATCTCTTTAATTAAGTATTTATCTACATAAATTAAAAGATAATTATATTCATTATGGAACCTTCCAAAGAGCGGGCCAAGTATGATGGTTCTGGGCAAGCTCAATACTCCGCATAACTCTTCTACGAAAATCCGCACACATATCTCGGTCCGAATCCACGAGCCTTGACCAATTTGCCTCTATCGAACATGTAACACCCTCGTCGCTTCTCCTTAGCACCCTCAAAAATGAACCTTTTCGGACTCGTAAGCATTCTCCAAAAACTGGGCCAAAGTAAGCTTTACATGTGACAAGTTCAAGTTGGCGCATACAGAACCCGTTTTCTAAGCAATGGTGCCAAAAGTCTCACCCTAAGATGCGGCCCGTGACAATAACAAGAATTATCAATACGTTTGTGTTTTGATTTATTCTTTTCAAACACTTATCAATGATTGCTTCAATATTAATATGTTTTAAAGAAATCTACGTGATAACGCATTTCTCAAATTCCTTTATTAAGTAAAAAGGAACCGAATAAAATAACTATTCCACAGTATTAATGGCGATAATCTTTATGCTACATTAAAGCTTCATCTTCATAACTCCAAATTCGATTCCCAAAGCTTCAGAAATCAACAAGTTTTTTAAGAAAAATTCCCCAATGGCTTCAATATCCTCCACATCGGCTTCACATTTCGACGAGCTTCGATGGCTCATCAACATCCGTCGTTCCCTAGCTGAAGAAGTGGAAGAAGAAGAAACCGAAGTTGCCGTTTCCATTTTCAACGTCCCCAAAGCCCTCATGTTAACTGATCCTGAATCTTACATCCCTCAATCGGTAGCTCTCGGTCCTTACCATTACTGGCGACCCGAGCTCCATGAGATGGAAACCTACAAACTCGCAGCAGCCAAAAGAACCCAGAAACACCTCCAGTGCGTTCAGTTCCATACTCTTGTTGAAAACCTGATGAGATTTGAACCCCAGATTCGGGCGTGTTATCATAAGTACCTGCACTTCAACGGTGAAACGTTGGTTTGGATGATGGCCATTGATGCTTCCTTCTTGCTGGAGTTCCTACAAATCTATGGTCTCCGACAAGGCAAGACACTATCACGGATGTCGGCTCATAATTCGATTCTGAGAGATATTGTGATGCTTGAGAATCAGATCCCGTTGTTCATTCTTCGAAAAGTGCTTGAAATCCAGAACTCTTCGTTGGAATCGGCTGATGAATTGTTGGTTTCCATCTTAAATAGATTATCTAAAGAGCTCTCCCCTCTCAGGATGATGAACCACTCGGTGAAGATCGATGTCTCGACGTGCGCTCATGTGTTAAACTTCCTTCACGACATCATCGTCCCCAAGCTGGACCAAGAACAATGTGAGATAAGCGAACCAGACGACAATGAAACGAGTGATTCCCAAGTTCCGAAACGACTTCTCAGTGTGTTATGGAATCTGGTTTCCAGGATAAAGAGAAATTCGTTCGGAATCATCAAAGCTTTTTTGCAATCTAGACCGGCCAGAGTCTTGATTAAATTTCCTTGGAAAATCGTCTCAAATCTACCTGGAATTTTAATCCTGAAGCAACTGATTAAACAGGTGTTCTTCTCACAAGATAACGAACAACGAAAAGCAACACCGGAACACGGTTCCGGCACAAACATGCCACCGCTGGCGGAGGAGATCGCCATTCCATCCGTCGAAGACCTATTGAAATCAGGAGTCCGTTTCATCCCCACCAATGGGAACATATCCACCATTACATTTGACCCCAACACTGTCACATTCCATCTCCCAATTGTCACACTAGACATTAACACAAAGGTTGTGTTAAGGAACTTGGTCGCATACGAAGCGTCGAACGCATCGGGGCCGTTGGTTTTCACACGATACACCGAATTAATGAACGGGATCATCGATACGGAGCAGGATGTGAAGTTACTGAGTGAGAAGGGGATAATACTGAACCATCTGAAAAGTGATGAAGAGGCTGCAGAGTTGTGGAACGGGATGAATAAATCCATCAGATTGACCAAAGTGGCGTTCTTGGATAAAGTGATTGAAGATGTAAACAGGTATCATAATTGCAGATGGAATGTTAAAGCCAGGAAATTCTTCAAACAATACGTATATGGTTCATGGCAGTTGTTAACATTGTTGGCTGCAATTATGATTCTGATTTTGTTGACATTCCAGACCTTTTGCTCCGTTTATAGCAGCTCCAGAGTATTACCAATTTGACCCTAGGATTTACTTCATTTTCCTGTAATGTTTGTGTTTTGAACTAGTATGGACTTTACTTGAATATGTCCGAGAAACATTATATTTATTAGAGTCGTATCGAATATTTTTGGATAAAAAATAAGTCTACGTAAAATGAAATCATATTCCATTACTTTGAATAATTAATTTAATATTCTACTAATAAACCATAAGAAAATGATTAAATTTGTTCAAACACATTATCTTCATTATTTTATTAAGAAAACTTCTTAAATACAACTAAGATAGAATAAATATAAAAAATTGAATATGATTATGATACGAAGCTGGATTCTGAGTAATAAGTAGAAAAAATAAAGAACAATGTATCGTTATATTGAAATTGAAGAATACTGGAAAATTAAGTAGTATTTGATAAATTAAAGAATGAGATTTAAAAAATAATACAAAAATATGATTAAATTTAATTCAAAATTGTAAAAATAAGAGAAATAGAAAAATAAGATTAAAATTAAAAATTTTATAAAATTAAAAAAAATTATGGACTCCAATTATAAATATATAAAAATTAATGTTATAATGTTGAAATTAATGTTGGTGCCAAAAAAACACATCTTAAACGGAACCCATTTCAACATTATTGGATTACATAAGCCTACGTTGTAATGGGTCAAGGCTTTAACCCAATTCATCAATCAGTTTTGCTTTCACCATGCTGTGTAAACCTAACCCTAATCATTTTCTTCACCTGCCCTAACCTTCGCCATACATATTCTTCTCCGGCCGTTGTATACGTTGTTTCACAGCCGGTTATTAAACTTTAACACAGTTAATTCTACAAGTGCATGCATTTTGCCTAGATTGAAATAAATAAATTTGGGGGAAATTTGAAATTCAGTAATTTGTCTATCTGGGTTCGGTCAGATTATTAAACAGTCTCTCTCCCAAACGTCACCTGTTGTTTATTCCACTACGAAACCCTTTCCTTTTTCTTCGTGGCAAATAAATCCCCAAAGGGGGGGGGGGGTTATCTCAAAAAGAAAAGAAACAATGGGTTCTCTCCAGCTTTTCCACAGCATTTCAGTTTCAGTTTCTCCCGAAACGAATCTCCTCCGTCCGTTAAACAAAGGGAGATTGTGTGCATGTCTCAACGTGGACGTGGAGCCACCGAATCCGTCGAAATTAAAGTCGAACAGCAGCAAAGACGTGATAGAGGAAGAAGGGCGAGTTCTCGTTGGAACCTATGCAAGAGCTCCGGTGGTACTTTCCAGTGGCAAGGGCTGTAAATTGTACGACCCCGAAGGACGAGAGTTTCTTGATTGTGCAGCAGGGATTGCCGTCAATGCGCTTGGTCATGGGGATCCTGATTGGATCAGGGCCATTACAGAGCAAGCTAATGTGCTTACTCATGTTAGTAATGCCTATTATTCAGTTCCTCAGGTGAGGCCTTTTCTTATAGGAGTTTACTCCTTTTCGGTTTTTTATTCTGGGTTTTATGTTTTCTCCTTCTTTAAAACTATATGTTTAGTTGTATTTAACTTCCATTTTTGTTATTGGGTTATTGAATTTAAGCTATGACTACGTTCTTTTTATGGGAACAAATGTTGTTATATAACAATAACTTGTGATACTAGGTAAAATCATGGCAATTTCTTCTGGAAGGAGAGTGGTGTACTAGTGACAAACAATCCGTATTAGTGTATTAGTGAAAAAAATTATTTTCTTTTTCCTGATAAATGAACGGTTTGATGAATATGAAAGATTTTCTAAATTTAGCTAATAGTTCATGTATTTAACCTATTTATCATAATGGTATATTTTCTTGTTGTAGGTCGAGCTTGCGAAACGTCTGGTGGCTAATTCGTTTGCGGACCGTGTGTTTTTCACGAACTCTGGAACAGAGGCAAATGAAGCTGCTATTAAGTTTTCCAGGAAATTTCAAAGATTTAACCATCCCGATACCGAACAGCCTGCCACGGATTTTATCTCATTTACTAGTAGCTTCCATGGTAGGACGATGGGATCCCTTGCTTTGACAAGTAAAGAGCATTATCGTTCACCATTCGAGCCTGTTATGCCTGGAGTTACTTTCCTGGAGTATGGAAACATACAAGCTGCAAGAGATCTTATCAAGCTTGGAAAGACTGCTGCGGTATTCGTTGAACCAATTCAAGGTGAAGGTGGAATATACAGTGCAACAAAAGAATTTCTGCAGGCTTTGCGTGAGGCATGCGATGAGGCTGGATCCCTTTTGGTTTTTGATGAGGTACACTGCTTCCCATTTCCTAGAAACAAGTTCAATTCAGATGGTTAAATCATATTGTCTAAATGTCTTTGGTCAGATCTAATTTTGGTTTGATCTCATGCTTCCTTGCTCCTTTTAGTAATTTCCCGAACAACCCGAAAGACTCAGATTACATTGAAGTCATATGTCTGTTAAAATGGGTCAAGATCCAATTTTCGCACATGGATCATTACTTTGAGTAAACTTAAGTTTTTAGCAATGTGTTTTGGTAGATAAGTAGTAGTAGTTAATCATATTTTATTCTTCATAGGGAACAGAGAAATCGCCATTAGTTCCAATTTTAAAGCTTTTCAAAAGGTAGGAGTGGTTATTCCCAGGTCCAATTTTAAATCACCTGAAATATTTCTAACGTTTGTTATCATTTTTGCAATTACTCTCTTATTCCCAGGTTCAATGCGGATTAGGTCGAACTGGTTATCTGTGGGCACATGAAGCTTATAATGTTTCCCCGGATATAATGACACTTGCCAAGCCTCTTGCAGGAGGTCTGCCAATAGGTGCTGCTTTAGTAACAGAAAGGGTTTCTTCTGCTATTGTCCATGGAGATCATGGAAGTACTTTTGCTGGTTCACCTCTAGTGTGCGCTGCTGCTATCGCTGTTCTAGATAAAATCGCAAATCCTAGCTTCTTGTCTAGCGTCTCAAAGAAAGGTCATTACTTCAAAGAACTGTTGGCCCGAAAGCTCGGAGGAAATCCGCACGTGAAAGAAGTGCGAGGTTTAGGTCTTATAATTGGAATAGAGCTGGATTTGTCGGCTGCACCACTTGTTGATGCATGCAGAGATTCGGGTCTTATAGTATTAACAGCAGGGAAAGGAAATGTTGTGAGACTGGTGCCACCATTGATAATATCAGAGAAAGAATTGGAACGTGCAGCTGAGATTTTGCAAGAATGTTTGCCTGCACTTGATAGTCGTAACTGAGGTCAGGAAAATTGATTACAGCATTTTCAGAATATTAATTCAAGTGTGTGTTAAATAATAGATCAAACTCCCATAATTATTCTAAAACTTCAACTCCAGCTTTCGCGAGGGGTTTTGATCCATGTAATCTTCGTTATGATGAATGTTCGAACATTTACATCCTAGCCATCTACATGATGTCTTGTTTTGATAGTAATTTAGATGGCTTATATATATATATATATATATATATATATATATATATATATATATATATATAAACAACTAATTTTATTCAAAATAGTAAATATTTCAAATTACAATAAAAATTTACAATCACAATCGTAAATTAAGCATATAATTAAGACAATTTTTTATAGTAAACAAAACTAACAATTTAAGATCACATAAGGATTATATACGGAAAGATTAAAAATCTAATAAAAAAATTCAAATAAAAATAGATACAAATAGATTTAATTGTATCGGTAAACGAATCACAAAAGATGTTAAATAGGTTGAATCTAGAGAATCTAATTTTAAATCAATTTTCTCCAAGTATGCCATGATCAGTTCAAACTTAAAATAATATTAATATAACAAATTCCAAGTTAAATCATTCATAATTTATTAAAGTAAAATATTTGAAGAAAAATTTAATATAAATAATAATTATTTCTAAATCATGCAAAATGTTTTAAAATATTGTAATGTCCAAAGTCCCAAATTTACAAATCAGGTAATCTAAAAATAATATAAACAAAAATCCTATAAAGAAATGTCAAATAAAAATTCATATCGAAATAACGTTTTAATCTGAATATCGAATGTGATTCTCCGAGTACTGAATCTCCTAAGTCCGAGTATCTGAAAGAGAAACTATGAGGGAGTAAGCAAGAGGCTTAGTGTGTCTCTAAAGTACAAATATAAAAAAATAAAAGTATAGTCTGAAGCATTCACATAATTATATTCATACGCGAAATCATCACCAGTAATATCAGTTTAAATGTTATGCAAATGTTCATGCATCCACCCATACTCAAATCTCACCTAGAAGAGTGAATTCCCCATAACCACACTATCTCCTACCTACACACCATGTAAACTCAAGGTCAAAAAGTATTATTTGTTCTATTCCACAAAATCCAACAAATTTATCGAGAAAAGAATAGACCATGGGACGTTTTAGTAAACAAAGCGGCTCGGCTGCATGAGATTTTCACAGGTCCACTTCCCTATGGGCAACTAGATAAATTCGTAAAAAATTATTTTTTCAGGTCAAGTTCTTCTAATATTCTCTAAATTTAGGACAACCATATAAGAAAAAAATATCTTCATAATCACGTTTACAAATGTTTCACCCATTATCTAGAGGCATATAGTGTTGTACTTTTTTTATTGATTCGAAGATAGACTCCTCTATAGATAAAGAGGTAAATTTTTGTTGTTTGTTATTTATAAATAAATTTTAGTTGTTTATGATGATTATATATTTATGAATATGTTCACATACATATTTGGTGGTTGTGAACATACCCTAGTAATGTTCATCAATATAGAATTTCGGAGTCACAAGACCTAATAATTGAAGTATTGAATAAAAATAAATAAATAAATTTATTTAATTTTATAATTTTAGCTTTTCAGAAACGTGATAAATGATCATAAATATCATCCAAGAAACGCATTGAAGGAGGTCAACAATCACCATTTGCAAGTTTGGCGAGTTCAATCATAATAATATTATCCACTTATTCAGACCAATTTCAGATTTATATACGGATAGATATAAAATTTTATACCATTAAATATAACATTAATTAATGTAATGATTAATGCTTTAATAACATATCTTTATAAATAAAAGTAATAAATATATTATAATCGAATAATGTTTCCTCTTTTATTTATTTTTCCTTTTTTTCCCCCGTATTTTTTAACTGTTTAAAATTGATTCATTGACATTAAAATTTTAAGTAATTGTTTTTAACCGAAGCAAATTACTTTAAGGAAGTAAAGCAGAGGACAATATTTGGGATAAAGTTAGCCCCCTAAATAAGTGAAGCGCACAACAATCTTCCTGTGTACCTTTTGGGGGACATAAATTCCTGACTTTTCATTACTTGTTCAATCATTCATTATTTTCAAATCCAACTTTTTAAAAGCTTAAAGCAACCATTACTGTGTGAATATGGGTTGTAATTTGTAAATATTAATTCACCTAATAGTAGAACCCCAAGGCTTTGTTCTTCAACGGTCCAGCCATAACATTAACAAAGAAGGGTTTTTGAGTTCATAAAATGTCAAGGGTTTTTAATTTTGCATGGGCCCAGCCCATACTGAATAATGTAGCCGTTACGCGTTCCCCACCGAATTTGTTCTTGCGTGGCACCACTTAATTTAAGGCTATCAAATCTCCTTTGATTGTTTAATAATGCACAGAATTCGACCGTTGCCTTCTATTTCTTAATTTCCCAAACCAAAACGCTACACATTTTCTCCCATTGCTTCTTTCATCTTCTCAATAACACCACCGACAGAAAATAATCTCACTAGTTCATGAAAATGGCCGTTGATCACGCCTTCGCCCACGAGGAAATGGTTATCGATGAGGGTCTAGGATACCCAAGAGCCTATGCAAAAATATGCCGGGACCCCAGTCTTGCTCCTTACAACCATGGCCTTCCTTTCACTTTCATTCCTTACGTTTTGCAGCAAAGTGAGGTAATTTTTAACTTCTTTTGGACTCTTCAAAGATGGAGAGGAAATGGGTTTCTGGAGATTTGGGTGATTTTATTGTTTTTTTAATTAGAAAAGAAATATGGGAAATTGGATTTGGGGAGGAAGAAATCAAGACAACGGAGATTAATCACTGATTTGTATTTTGCAGAATCTGAGATCAAAGGAACTGGAAGAACTATTCCCAGTTATTGATCCAAAGGCAAGGCCAACAGCTAAGCCAAAAATCTTCATCAATCTCTTGTGGAAGCAGCTCAGTCATTTAGGGTAATTTACTTGAATTAAACTCTTAATCACTTAAAAATTTGGATATATGTTGAAGTAATAATTGGAAATTTTCGGCGTCTTTTTTCTGATTTCTTTCACTTCCTTTTAATTCAGAAACGCCGGCTTTGATCCCGAAGTAATCCGTGTTGATACATATGGCAATGTCCTGTATTATCATGCTGATTCAGCTTCACCTCTCTCCTGGGACATTGATCACTGGTTTCCTTGTTCAAGTACATTAACTTCTCTATTGTTTCTTTTTGTTTGGGTTATGTTTTCACTTCTCATTCAGCTTAATCATGGTGCTTTGTTTGAATTCTTTAGGGGGTGGATTGACTGTTGCAAGTAATCTAAGGATATTACAATGGCAAGTGTGCAAGAAAAAACATAACAAGCTGGAATTTCAAGTTCCTTGGTGGGATTTCCAGTTGGGGATTTCTGTGAACCAGTTCTTGTCCATTTTCGCTTCTCGAAACTCCGATTTCAGGTTCGGGTTTTTCTCTCTCTCTCTAAAGATTTTCTACGTTGTCAGCGCAATCTATGAATGGAGAATTGATTATTGAATGATGATGACAGGCACAGGGCATTTTCCTTCTTGTTTACAGAGGGTGAAAATGAAGAAATAAATGCTTCACAAACTGTGGATTCACATTCTTTCCCTCAGCACTTCATGAAGTCGAAAGATCAACACGGGCTTGCACCGGCTGCTGTTGTTGTAACTCGAAAGGAACTATATGATTCTTCATCAGCTTTGAAATCACTGGATTACAACAGGCAAATAAGGCCACAGTCTCCTATTATTGGTTAGTAAAGTTACTTAGACTCCACTGTGAGTGTCGGATTCAAGTAGTTTTTCGATCATTTGTCTCATACTAATTTGAAACTTTTCAGCTGCAAGGAAAATGAAAGGTAGCATTTTGAAGGAAAATGAAAACCCAGATTTTGTTGCAAATCCGTATCAGGCTATTGTCATGGCCAGAGATTCATTGAAACAAAGGGAAGAAACAAACAAGATGCAAGCCGAAATCCAGAAGTTGGATGCAGAAGTGAGTGAAATGAGGAAGAAGAATGATGAAGAAAAGTTTGCTATTCAAGACTTGGAAGCAGAACTGATAAAGCGGCGGAGAAGGGCTGAAAAGTGCCGGCGGCTGGCCGAAGCACAATCTTCATACCGGACTATGCTGGAGAAGATGATTCGGGATGCCATGCACCAGTAAGATTGCCCAAAACATGCTGTTATGTGACAATGTTCTACTAGGCTTATAGATTTCAAGAACATTTATTGTTTTGATTCTTGTAGGAGTGTTATTTACAAGGAACAGGTGAGACTGAACCAGGCTGCAGCCAATGCTCTCATGGCAAGACTCGAGGCGCAAAAGGCAATATGCGATGCAGCAGAGAAGGAACTCCACAAGAAATTTAAACAACGAGATGAGATCGAGAAGCAGATACGGCCCGAATTGGAACACGCAAGGAAGAGGTCGAGAATGGATGATACTTTCTTCGAAGGTCAAGATAGCAGAACCGTTCTTTATCTACCAGGAATCAGGCCAAGTACACCTTCACACAAGGAGCTGAGAGTGTTTCTTGAGGAAGAACACAAAGCATCTGTAGCTGGTTTATCTTCAAATGAAGATCAAACAAATAAAGAAATCGAAGAGGAACTCACAATTGCAGCAAAAAATGCCTTCAAACTAAAGCGCGAGGTGCATGATAAAGCCATAGCTGCATTAGAAGATGAAATACCAATTGAGCAGAAGTTTCAGAGGCTTGAAATAAAAGATGAGAGACAAGAAATTCGATTCCCCGTTGTTGAAGGAACTGAACGAGAGGAAGATGAAGAGAGCCGGAGACAGCGAGGGAAAGGGAATGTTGATAAGTGGCTCCAAATGCTGTTAGAGAACACTCAAGAAGAATTGGACAAAGTAGATGTAGAGGAAGCGACTGGAACAGATGAAATCATAAAAAATCTAGATCAAAAGTATCCACTGAAAGAGAAAGAGCTCGATATTAAAATCCAAGAGCAGGCTGATGATAAAAAGAAGAAAGAAGAGATTGTTGATGCAGAATGCAACAAAACACCAGGAAAGGAAAGAGTTCTTAAGAGGTCAGAGAGTGCCAGGGTGTTTAGAAGAATCCCATCTTCGCCATCTTTGATCTTGGGAGGTATGAAGAAAGGAGTGGAGTGCATGAGGAAGAAGCCAATAGTAACCAGTGATGATGAACCAGATTATGCTGTGGGAAACAACTTCATCAAATCATCCATCAAAACAATAAAGAAGGCAGTCAAAATATGAAGATTTATACCTGCGGAGCATCTCTCTGACTTCTTGTTTGTTTGTTTTTTCCTCCATTCTTTCAATATTAAGGTGATTTATTTTTTATTTTATGGATCGCTAGAAGTATCTCTGTCAGGTTGAATAATGAAGTGAGTCTGTATATAACAGCTTGTTGTGTTTGCTTATAAATCCTAGTAAGTTCGGTCAGAATCTGTATATTTTTTTCAGTGATTCCCCCCCCCAGGTTATATTTGATTTGGGGTATTGAAGAGAGTAGTTTGGGTATTTTTGTTTTTAAATCTGAATTGGCATATAGTGTGTATTCTCACAAAAGAAAAACTTTAGGGTTCAAAAATTAACATTACCCACATCCCACAATTACACCAAAATTCGAATAAAATATTTATACAATCCAAGAACTGAAATTCATTTACTTGTTTTGTTCGACTTCATTTAAAAAAAAAAAAGCATATCCGATATGTATCCAGAATCAATGATCCTCCAAGAATATGAAAAAAAAAAACTTATAAAAACTTAAAACATTTGTATGCTTACTCAAATCCAACGCTCACGAGTATTTACAATGGAGTATTGGAGTTTACCTTTGTGAGATGGTAAAAACCCTATATGCAGCCTCAGGGGCTAACACAGATCACATTAACAACATCCAAAAAAGGAAGCCTGAAGTCATGATGAAAACAGATGTATTTCAATATGATACTGCAGTGAGATTTGATTTTACTTTACAGGAGAAATACGACATTACGAAGGAAAGTAGAGTAGCAGACAACACTTTACCATGACTAAAACGAAGGCATGAGCCTCCCCTATTCATAATTGGAATGGGTGGACCGGAGCTTATCCAAGTACAAATTACACTATATCACAAGCCTATAAGCGTTATGATCCCGGCTCAAGGAGCTGTCATAAGCAGATGAAGGGAACTCAAAAGGCCAGAAACCTGTCCAGCATCGAAATCTGTAGATTCAAAAGGAACTTCACCTTTGAAAGATGGAATCAACCCCTATCCACCTAAAGTTCAGGAAAATGGAGTCCACCGAGCTTCTCTGAGCACCAGGCCACAATCCTAATGCTGTTTCCCTTGTTTAAAAGTACATCCCCGAGCAAACAGAAAAGCTTTTTTGCTGTTCATGCAAATAGAGCATCTAACATTCATGATGATTCCACAGCATTCTTCCAAGCTTCCGAGTCTTTCTGTGTTTTAGATGTTATAATATTAACTGGGTGATCCATGACGCATGGACCAATAACACAATTTTCAGATTGCAACATTTAAGCTGCCTTTTACATATCTACATTCTCCACGGGAGTTGATAACTTCCCAATTTCTTTCGTAAACTTATTTGTCAAGCTTTCCCTAATATTTCCATATCGCCACAAGAACAGATGCCATCCTTGAAATGGTGGAATTCTTCAGTATCCCTAACAGAAATCTCCCTTCGTACAATCTTGGAGATGAATTTAATGGTACTGTGACACCTTTGGCACATATAGAGATTCTTTGTTACCCAAATAGGTGTTCCGGGAACAGTATTAATGAGACCAAATGCAACAGCTAGTCTCTCACTATGCCCGCATAAAATCTCGGCTTTTGAAATTTCAACTTCATCCATGGAATCACATTTTGGACCACCCAAGGCAGCTACCCTCATTTTCTCATAAATTCCATCTAAAAGATCATTTATTTCATTTATTTGGGGATGGCAATCATCACCGCTGAGGAAAGCATGGATTTTTCCCTTAATTTCCACCCAACTGCATCCAGGATCAATGATTAGTCCATCATCTTTCATCATATTTCGAACTTTTGCAACTTCATCCCATTTACCACTGTTTGCATAGAGATTACATAACAACACATAATACCCAACACTTCTATCACTTTCAAAAATACGTTGAGCTGCAAATTCACCAAGCGCAACATCCCGGTGAATTCTACATGCATTTAACAAGGCTCCCCATATAGCTGGATCTGGCTTTATAGGCATTTCCTGTATAAACTCATAAGCCTCCTCCAATTGCCCAGAACGGCCAAGCAAATCTACCATACACGCATAGTGCTTCAAATTTGGGCTAACACCATATTTCAGTTCCATGCTATGAAAATACTTCAAACCTTCGGTTACCATTTCTGATTTACTACAAGCACATAGGAGTGGAATAAATGTAATCTCATCTGGACTTACATTAGATTTGACCATTCTATTGAAGAATTCCACAGCCAATTTCCCTTGTCCCTGCTGTGCATATCCTGTCAGCAGAATATTCCATGCTGAAACATCTTTTTTCTGCGAATTAAATTGGTTCCAAGCAGGTCCCATCATCTTTTTTCTGCGAATTAAATTGGTTCCAAGCAGGTCCCATCCTTCCACACCTTACATACACGTCCAGAAGTGCATTGGGTAGGAAACCATCAAGTGCCATGCCGGTCCTCAATGCATATGCATGAATCTCTTTTCCACACATCAATCCACCTATCCTAGCACATGCAGATAGAACGGACACCAATGTCACAGAATTTGGTTTTAAACTCAGTTTCATTTGCCGAAAGAAAATCAATGCTTCAAAGCACCGGTTGTTAAGCCGGAGTCCCAAAATGATAGCAGTCCAAGAAATGACATCCTTGTCAGGAATGTTGTGGAACACTTCTAGAGCCTTATCAATACATTTACACTTGGAATACATATCAATTAACGTGTTGGAAACTATAATATAAGATATGAGGCCTGTCTTTTTAGCAAGTTCATGAAGCTTTATCCCCATATCTAGCTTTCCAAGCATAAGCCGAAAGAACACTGGCTAAAGTGACTTCATCAGGCATGAATCCCTGCTCCTCCATCATTCTGTAAGTATCCACAGCTTTATCAGGGAATTCGTTGTTCTCATAACCCGAGATCATTGCTGTCCAAGAAACTACATCCCTCCATTCCATCTTATCGAAAACTTTCTCCGCTGTTTCCCAACACCCAAAACTGGAGTAAATTTGAATCAAAGAATTACAAACCCAAACATCGGCTGACATCCCTGTTATAACCACATATCCATGAATTTCTCTGCCTAATCTCTCATCACCAAGGCTCTCACACGCAGAGATCACACTCGTCATAGTCATCAAATCTGGATCAAACCTATGCTCACGCATCTTAAAAAATAACCTTATCCCTTCCAAGCACTCCCCATTCTCAAAATACCCTGAAATGATTGCATTCCAAGATATCCTATCTATCCTAGACATTTTATCAAACAATAACCTTGCTCCTGGTAAATCTCCACACTTTACATACATGGTCATCAAAGCATTAACCACATCAACATCTGCTTCAAACCCGAACCTAATAACATGAACATGAATCTCTTTACCTCTTTCCAAATTCGGAACAGCACCACAAGTTCTCAAAACGCAGGGGAAAGTATAAACATCAGGCTTAAAACCGACCCACAACATCCTATGATACAAGCACAAAGCTTCATCGAAGAACCCCTTTTTCGCGTACCCACTAATTAAAACATTCCAAGAAAAAACATCTCTTTCTAGCATTTTACCGAACACGTACCAAGCATCACCCAGTTTCCCAAACCTCACAAACATACCCAACAAAGCATTACCAAGCCTAAGACTCAAAGAGTTACTCAAATTAGATATATAAAAGTAAACCTTAGAACCTTCTTCGAAAGCTCTCTTCCACTCACAAAGTCTCACCATGGCAATTGCCGCGTCTTCATCTAATGGAATCTGTAATTGTTGCATTGACTCCAGGTACTTCAGAGCTTCTTGGAGTTTTGCATTAATACAAAGAAGGTGGAGATGTGAGTTGGGGGTTTTTCTGTTCAGGGAATTATTGAGAAGTAATGAGAGCTGCTGCTGAGGTTGCGCTGAGGAGATTTGGAGGGGTTTGCGTTTGTTTGAGAAACTTGGGGGTTTGGGGTTTCGTATTTTGATCCGGATAGGGTTTATGAGGTTGGGGTTGATGAGGGTTCGAGGAGTGTTAGCAGATAATGCCATTGTGGAAACCACGGAGCACTTTTGGCCGGGGCTTTCTGAAGGGTTTAACTACTTCTGGATAGAAGATAAAGTTAAACGCTGCCGTTTAAAGGAGTGGGAACTGGGAATATTGAAAATGGTACAACGCTGTCGTTTAGCTTTTAAGTTTCCATATAACTTTAATGGTAAATTACATCATTCATCACTCAACCATCTTCTCGCTTTTATGTTGATCACTAAAATTTAAATATTGAACTTTTAAATTATTTATATTTTTTCACTCCTAAATGATATAAATTGTTTTAATAACATTTTATTATAATATTATATATTTTTATTAAATTTTTCACATAATATTAACATGAAAAGAAAAAAACTTAAACCCAAAATCATATCTACAAACCTCAAATCCTAAATCATATTTATGTTCTTACCTTCATCTACATTTAGTGATAGATGCAAATTTTTTTAAGGTGAGCACGTGATTACCTTAAAATTTTAAATTATGTTAGTTGTTTATTTTATTCATGATATATATCTTAAAATTTTATTTGTATCTATTCTATGTAAATATTTATTATTATTAATATATGTCTATCATTATTTTTAGAAATCTCTATATATGTATCTTTTATTATTTGTGTATATACACACACGAATAATCAAAGATACATATTCTTTTATTATTCGTGTGTGTGCCTACCCATACATATGCTTCTATCTGGTATATATTAATAATATACTTGGTTAAATTCCATCTACGTTCCTTGTACTATACAATTTTGGTGGATTTAGTGGTTATTTAGTAAAAAAAAAATAGTTGCATATTTAGAATAGATGAAATGATATAATATTTGTTAAATTGAAGAAGAAAAATACAAATGTATATTTGTCACACCACCACATAAAGAAGAAGTTGCTAGGCTTTGATTCGCTGCAACAAAATTGAAAGATTCAATCAAACTTCAAGTTTACTTCATACAGAGCAACATACTTCATGCACAATAAAAAGTAAAAAAAGGGATCACCGTACATCACAAATATCATAGACGAAAGGACCCACTTGAGTCTGAAATCCTAACCCCAAGTATTCTTTATGTCTAAAAACCGTTACGCTCGTTATTTAAACCCACGTGTTTTTGAAAGGCGGTTTTATTTAAGTTTATATACCACACTCCTCGCTTAAAAACAAAACTCATGAATTATTCTAATAATATAACATATGTTATTAACTTTTCGCTACATAAGATTAAAATAAAAAGAATAAAACTTAAACCCAAAGTCATATCCACGAACCTTAAATCCCAAATCATACCTCTACTCTCACCTTCACCGAGATGCAGGATTTTTCAAGGTGGGACACGTGACTGTTCTAAAATCTAAATTTATTTGTCGTGTCTATTTTAAAATTTTATTTGTATTTATGTCATGTGAAAATTTTATATTATCAATGTATCCATCCAGTTTGAATCCATCACTGCACACTAATTCAGTGGCAAAAGATTCCGCATTACTGTGTTTGCCGAGATTAACCAAACCTTGAACCACATAGTTGGTTTTCCTATGCAAAGAATTCAATATACAGTCGAAACTCTTTAAATTAATACTCGATAAATTAATAAACTCTCTAAAATAATAAATTTGTCCTGTCCCAACTTGGGCCAATGTAAAAAATTGAAAAACTCGATAAAATAATAAGATAATAATTTTTCGTGAGATCCCTTTATAATTTTCGGTCTCAAGAAAATCATAAATTAATAATTCATAGAAACTGAAAAAAATATATTACACTCTATTTAAATATGATTCAAAAGCTGTCTGTTTTTCTTTAAAGTTCAAGTCTATTTGGAGCCCATTATTAATTTAACTCATCTCTTGCAACGTAATTCTAAGAGGCATAGACTAATTTATCTTTTTGTTTGGTATGTACAATATAATTACTTAAAAACTCTTTAAATTAATAATTATTCATTTATCGATAAATTAATAATTTTTTTAAATTAATAAATTTCTTCAGTCCTGACATTATTAATTTATAGAGTTTTAACTGAGCTGAAGGTTCCTTTATTAATTTTACAGAGCTTCAGATAAAACGTTTTTACTTTTACAATTGTAATGAATACGTTGCATGAGAGGCACCACCTCAACCTTGAAGACGAAAGCGTCGAGCAAGCATCTCTAACGGCGGTAGAAGGGTTTCGGCCGGAGAAGAAGAGCGTTTGAGTTATCTTGAAAAGTACTTCTCCATTGTCTATATCTTGATGTCCCCGACAAATACAATAGTAAGCAGAACCTAAGGAAACCAAGATCCATTCCCTCGTATACCCTAACCCACGTGTGGCGGTTTTATCTTATTATATATATACACCACACGCCTAGCTTCTCTCGAAACTCACTCCAAAAACCATAATTCAAAGTTCAAACTATAATGCCGTTACAATCATCAAGAACCAAATCCTACGCGCCGCCCATCACCGCCTCCACCCATTCCCACTCTTCTTTTTCTTCTTCAAGGTCATCCGCTTCCCTCCGCTCTTCTCCTCAGTCTTCGCCTTCCGTCTCTCCCAACCGTTCCCTCTCTTACGATAACAAGAACAACGCGCTTCCCCACCACCGCCGGAAGAGGACGTGTTTGTGTTCCCCTACAACGCACCTTGGGTCTTTCCGCTGTCCTCTCCATAAAGGATTCCCGCTGTCCAGGAATCATCCGAATGCTCCTCAACAATCGACGCCGACGTCGTTCAATCCCGGGAGTCCTTTGAATTTGAGGAGATTGGCCTTGAAGAATTCGTTAATAAGAATCGGAGAGTTGGTTAAGAGAACTTTAACGGCTCGTATAACTATAAGGCCTTCTTCGCATCAACAACGACGCCCGGCAACTTTTCACCCAAGGCCTAGCCGGCTTTCCATTATGTCTAAAGCCGATGATTCTTCAACTGTGTTAGGGTTTCTTTCCAACCAGCGAGCTCAGTGATTGCGTAAACAAGACTTGGCATATTTCGGATTTTCTTGTGCTTCTTTCATCGCTGTTACTGGTATGAATCGAATTTTTGTCAAGATTTTGTAGAGGATTTTTTAAATAATGTAATTTTAATTTGTTTTCTCTTTTTGGGAAGAGATTGAATTTTGGTGGTGGATTATATCAATAAATCTTTCTCTCTTGAAAATTTTAGGAAAGTAAGTTAAATTTAGGATTATTCGAGTAAATATCTAAGTTTGAGGATGCGATAAATCTTCAAAAACGTAATGTATTACTCTATATCTTTTTATTTGTGTTTATGTTTGTAATTCAACAATTTATAATCATATTTCAAGCATTTTAATATAAATTGCATCATATGCATCAGAAATTGTCTTACGTTTAATTTTATTGTTATCAGACAACGAAGATGCATCGATGAGTCAGAAGAAAACTATGATCAACTATCTGAAACTCTAAAATAGAAAGAAGTCTCATTAAATACAAAATTGACTCTTTTTAGGATTTTTAAAATGTAGACATAATCGAATTTCTGTTAAACTTTTGTTAGTGAAAATAGATATATTAGTAAATCTCTTTTTTCTTTCTTTCATTTAATATTTGAAGGGAAATTATAAAGAGTTGCGCTCAGGTTATATGTAGATATAAACTTGTTCTTTCTTGGGCAAGTTGCCCATTTGATCACTCACTCATTGTCTTATTTCTATTCTGTTCATTTAATTATTTTCGTTTACTGGTTATTAAATTGGAAGTGTGATATAATATAATAGTAGTTTTAATCCTCAAAACTTATATATTCTATCAAATTGATATTGTTTCTAAATAATTCAATAAATACTCGATATTCAAAATTCTTATCAGTTTGATTCTCATCATCCATGAGCATGCTTTTTCGAATTAACATTGTCAGAAATAAGATGATCCAATCTTATTCAGTCTCGTGACATAGAATGCAACTCGGTTACAAGATCACAAATTGCAGGAGCTTCGGGTGAAGTTTTGAAAGATTAATATTTCTTAACTCGGTTTAGTTTATTAGAAATGAAAGGGAAAAAGTATCTTAATACATTACCAGCCGTTGACGAGTGCGTGCAAAATTTCGTTCCATCGCCACAACCAACGGGGTTTATCAAGAACAGCCACTAAGCAAAAGATAGGAACCTTAAGTCCAGCAAACAGATTTCTCAATATGAGTCCGCAACTACATTAATTAAGTGCAAACAAACATTTCAAGATTCAGATACATTACCAACGCGAGTATGAACAGCCAAGGTCGTTTCTCAAGGTTCAAGGAGGAATGTTCAGAGAGTCGATGAATAGTATTCGAGTTTCCATTGCGGCATTTCACGAAAAGACTGATCCGGAAGCATACCTGGATTCGGAAGCCAATGTAGATCATGTGTTCGAGTGTCACAACTGTTCGGAGCAAAAGAATGTCAGATTGGCAACCGTGGAATTCATTGATTACGCCCTTGTTTAGTGGGATCAGTTGACTTCCACAAGAAGGAGAAATGGAGAGAGACCTATCAACAATTAGCAAAACATGAAAGTCATTATGTGAAGAAGGTTCATTCATGTTCATTATTACCGAGACTTATTCCAAAAGTTGCAAAACCTCAAGTAAGGCAACAAGAGCATGGAGGAATACTTCAAAGAGATTGAAGTGGCCATGATCCGTAGAAATGTCGAAGAAAACTAAGAACCAACCATGGTAAGGTTACTTTAGCTCACTCAATCCTTGGCAGCTCATACTATCTCAATTATGTCAAAGGGAATCTCACTTTAGCTTGAGACAGATCAAAGCATAAGGAAACTAGCTCGAGAGTAGCTGAAGTAACTGAACGGGATCTGACACTAACTGGAGAGTAGCTGAGAACTTATGGCAGCTGGAGTGACACTAGGTGTCTAGCCAAGCTAGCTTCTAGCTAGCTTACTAGCTTTCTAAGCTTATAGCTAGCTTACTAGCTTCACTAGTCACCTATGTCATCAACTAACATCTTCCTACATCATGCGAGCACCATATGGTCGAGAGTTCAGCATAGCACGGCGTGGAGAAGAATACAACATCAAAGCATCATGCGCACAATGCTTGCCGCCATGTGCTTCGTTAACATGGCATGTCCTTCATTCAAATGGCATTTACACTCACTTGAATTCAAACAAGGAGCCAAGCACGAATAGGCACACCTGTTCTGTCATGCACTCTCCACCACACAAGCAAGGTGCCAAAGTGAATCAACACAACACCATTCGGCCAAGGCTTCATACACCATTCATTTGAATGATTCATGGATCGAACCATCATCACCATTCGGCCAAAGGAGGATCAAGGAAAACCGAAGCATCACCTTTACTTTTCATCATTAATTGTTATAACTTTTCATTTAAACAATCATGTAAGTTCATGGAAGTGTCTTAGCCGAACATTGCATGTCTTTTCGGCCTAACCCCTTCACTTCTTATATATAGCCAATGTCTTGACTTTTGTAAGGCATCTCTCTTTGCTTGATTAATACAATTGTGAGGTTATCTCTTTGCTTAATTTTTTTTTGAAATTTTATAGACTTATCAAGTACTTAGGTGCTTGTGGCGTCAACCCCTTCTGTTTCCATTGATACTTGTGTTTCTTAACATATAAGGAAAGGTGTTAGACTCTTTTATAGTCTAGTTTCTTCCTTTTTTTTCTAAGATACTATCCACCAAATTACTTCCGCAGTCATACTCTTATCATTCATCATTTGCAGCCCATCATAGCACCTTTACATCAACCCTAAGTCTTCCCTTTGAGTCTATCTTCTTACAAGTACTTACTCATTCACTATATCCACAATCAAAAGGTAGTTTACCCTATATCACTACGACTACTTGAAAGTGAAAGGGTGTCTTTCAAATGTAATGGGTACAAATATTTTTAATGCATATTGCTGAATGGATAAAGTATGCGTCCAAAATATGAATATATTATGATAACCAAGTAACATTTGGTAGAGCATAGAATGTAATGTACAATGATAAGTCGAGCCACATACGTCGTAAACAATACCATTAGACAACCGAATCTCAAACTAGAGTTATCTACATTGATTTTTTTAAAAATCAAAAGATGACATTACGGATCGACCAAATAAAAGAGTTAATTGAGATCAAGTTGATAAAACATCGAAAGGAATGAGACTAAAACCCATGAATTATTCAGGCGTTATGTGAAGGAAAATCCAATTTAATTGATTGGAGATCCTAAAATCTAAGTTCAATTGGACAACCTACTTGTATAGACCTTTTATGGTCATTTTAAGGTTCTTATCTCAAGTTCATTTTTTTGATAAAAATAGTGACTAAAATATAAAAAATATTAAATAATGTTTTTAATGATCAATATATGTTTTGGTGAGTCAAACAACGTACATATTACCGTATAAGTAAGTTATCACAAACATTATTAAACATTCATATTATTACGTATTTCAATAATTAAACTTATATTAGATTTATATAAACTTATAAAGTATGAAATGTAGATGTTGAAGACTTAACGGAAAATATTTTAATATATTTAAAAACCTTTATGGTACATAATTTTAAACAATGATGTGACTCTAGTATCTTTTAGATTTTTATTGTTTTATTATTATAATTTAATATCTTTATCATAATATATGTACTATATAAAAAATAATATATGAAATAATTTAATATATTTATATTAATAAATAAAACCCATAGATAAAAAAATAATAACAAAAAAATCAATATATGCGCTGCAGTTGTATATAATTTCGTGCTCATATGGCTTGGTCTATTGGAGATGATTCTGCTATTAATCCTTGGGAGGATATCTGGATTCCTCATCTGGGTCCCTTAAGGGATAATGTAATTGATCCCTCGACACAGCAGCTCTACCCCCGCTTTGAAGATCTCATGACTAATACAAGTTCTTGGAATTATACTCTGTTATCTTCTTTATTTCCTGCAGATGTTTTGCCTCATTTTGCTAGCATTCGCTATCCTATCATCGGTTATACTAAAGAATCTTGTAATTGGCGTTGGCACGATAATTTCTCAATCAGCAACGCCTATGAAAAACTCATGGAAAATAATTGGGAGCCCCATTCCACGGTTTGGAAAACAATTTGCAATGTTGAGCGTTTTCAGAGAACCTTATCCAATTCGGCCATCTGCACAATTTTTCGGACCTCTAATGAAACAGTTCTGCAAATTATAAGAGACTGCAGCTTTGCTCGCGATGTTTGGAACCATGTTTCTCCGCAAGCGTCACTTCCGACTTTCTTTACTGCTGAGCTTCATGATTGGATTTTGCAAAACATTAACACAACCGCAACCTGGTCTATCTTTGACATCCACTGGAATTTAATCTTTGCTTCTATTTGCTGACATCTTTGGAAAACTAGGAACAGCTGTATTTTTGCCACGAGTTCCACCGATTATTCAAATGTTATTCATCATAGCTTACTCTGGGCAAAACATTATAGCACTTGCAGCAATTCGCTTGATGTAAAGGCCACCCCCCTCCCCCACCGACAGCAAGCTCTCATCAGCTGGACTCCCCTACCATTTCAGTGGATATCTCTTAACACAGATGGCGCTTTATGCTCATGAACGAAGATAACTACCATCGGTGGCCTCTTGCGTTATAGCTCTAGACATTGGCTAGGTGGCTTCAATCGCACCATTGGTTTTCCAAATGCTTTACAAGTAGAACTATGGGCCATTCATGATGGTCTTTGTCTTGCCTGGGACCTTGGCTACAGATTAATTCAAATCCGATTAGATTGCCAGAAAGCTATAGCTATCATCAACGATCCTAATGCTCTCTCCTGTCAGCTTCCCCTTGTTACTTGTAAAGCTACTAAGTTGGGAGCTTGATTTTACTTGGACCTATTGAAAAGCAAACTTTTCTGCTGATGCCATGGAAAAAAAATGCCACCCCAGACCATTTTGATATGGTTTATCACTCCCTCGCCCCGAATTTTGTTTAACACTTGCTGCAACGCGACTCTAACGGCCCCCTACTGTACTTACAGACCTGCCTAGTTAGGTGTCCCATCTCTCTATCATTAAAAAAAATATTATAGCTTTGGTTAAATTCCATTAAAGTTCCTTGTACTGTTCGATTTTGTTGGATTTAGTGATTATTTAGTACAAAAATATATGCATATTTAGAATAGATGAAAATGATATAATGTTTGTTAAATTGTAAAAAAAAACCGCAATGGAATGTTTGTCACACCACCACATGAAAAATAATTTCAAATTATTCGATATAATAGAAAAATAAAAGTACACATTTTTTTATATAAAAAAACCCCTTTAAATCATTAAATGAATAATAGAATAAAAGTCAAGGTTTAAATATTTATAGAAATAGTGAAATTAATTAATATAATCACAATTTAAAAGAATTGTTGTTATTCTTTGAGGTATTTGGTTCAAGTATCAAGAATGTCAGGAGTTTGAGCGTTCAATGTCAAATAGTTGAGAATTATCTTTAAACATATATTGTCTTATACTTATCCCATATTAATAAAAAATCTTATAATAGAATACCTATTTAAATTTAGGATAAATTACACTATTTCTCATTAGACTTTATTCTTTCTCCTATTTTACTCATTGTACTTTTAGTTTTTCTAACTGGCTCCCTAAATTTTCGAATTACTCTTGTTTCGACCGTTATGAATTTTTTATTATTATTTTCATATGACGTGCTATTTATATTATTATTTAAAATAAAAAATAAAAAATAAAAAATAAAAATAGAAGGTGGTCGGTCGTCGACCGTCGTAGATGATGGTTATTCGATCCCAAATTTTATTGCTCACTTCGCCTTGACACTATGCGTTCGAATTCGTCCTCCATGTTTAATCGAGATTCAATGAGTTTTTGGACATTTTCTGGTTAAACAACCACCATATTTGGACTCAGGGGTCGAGGCGAATGACCCATAAAATTTAGAATCAAATGACCACTATCTACAATGATCGACGACGGTTGACAGTGACGTACAATCACCTTCTATTTTCATTTTATATTTTAAATTATTTTTAAATTAAATAATAATAATAAATACCATATCATATGAAAATAATAATAAAATTATTTAGAGTGAAGCAATTTGAAAGTTCAGTGAAGAAATTAAAAAAATTAAAAATATATTAAATAAAATAGGAGAAAAAATAAAGTTAAGTGAGGAATAATATACCTTATTCTTAAATTTAAATCACAAAGCAAATATGATGTTAACTTAAATTTAGTTTACATATGAAATAAAAAAAATTAAAAGCATTTTACAAAAAAATATTAATATTTTTATAGTTCAAATTATTATAAAATAATATTTGGTCAAATATTATTTTAATCTATATGTGTATAAATATTACTTTAATGAATTTAATTTATTATTTTTTTACTAAACTAAAATGTTTATAAAGTGATAGATGTTTTAAATAGTATCAATCATTTGATAATGAACATTTAATCATCACTATTGTAATTATTAGTGTTCGAATTCAAAATCTTTAAAAATAACAATCATTTCTTTGTTTAATGAAGTAATATTTCATGTAATACGACCTATTATTTTAATTGAACATCCTTTCATATGTGCATGGATTGTATATCATTATGTGTGCATGTATACATTCATGATATTTTTCTTGATCAAAGCACTTTATGATTTTTAAAGCATGGTTACAGTATTAAAAGAAAGTTTGGTATCAATAAATTCCATTAGATTCAGCCTAAGAGGCTGTTTGGTTCAAGGAATGTAGGATTTTCATGAGAATGTAATTCAAATTCTCATATTTGGTTGGTCGAGAATCTCATTCTCAGTAATATTTTATTATCAATAGTAGATTTTTGGGGTCTATTACCGGGAATGTCATTACTTCTCTTTCCTTAGGTATTATTGGATTACCGACGTTTTAGACTAAAATGATCTTAAAAAAAATTTCTCAAAAATATCATTATTTTGTCATTGAATAATAAAAAATCTACAAAAGTTAAATTATAAATTTATTCTTAAACTATTTTAGATTTATAAAAAAATCTATAATTAAAATTTTATATAAAGTTCAGCGGATAAAATAAAATTTTACCCTTTCATTAAACCTTTTTATATTTTTAATTTTATAAAAAATATATATATATAAATTTTATGAATTTAATTTTTATAAAGAAAATATATAAATATTTTTCAACTTATTAAAAAATAAATATATAATAAAAACGATTTAGTTAAATATATATTCCAATAATCTTTTATTTATTTAACCAAACACGATAATCTTATATTTCTACAAAACCAACCAAACACAAAATACAACATTTCTAATCCCCAACCACCCCACCAACACATACCCACACATAATATACGCTGGTTACCTCAAATGCCCAGGAACAAAAACAAAAGTGGCTAAGCTAGAATAGAAACCCAGGAAGGTTGGAAGCAAAAGCCAATGCCAAAGCTGAAACCGAAACTAAAAGCAGGGAGCAGGCCACCGTGGGTTGGCTTAGCCGCCGCCGTATGGGTTGAGATATCAGGAGGTAACGCCTACAACTTCCCCTCTATTCTTCTGCTCTCAAATCGGTGTTGGGTTTCAGCCAGCAACAAATCACACTCTTGTGAGTTGCGAATGATGTTGGGGAGAGTTTTGGACTCCTCCCTGGTATTGCCTGCAATCATTTCCCTTCTTGGATAGTTCTTGTCGTTGGTGTCTTCACTTGTTTCTTGGGATATGGTGTTATCTGGCTTGCTCTTACCCAAACAATTCATGCCCTGCCTTACTGGGCGGTAAGTTCACTTCCCATGTTCTATAATTTTGGGTTTTCTTTGCATCTTTGTCTATTACCTTGCTGAAATTGAACTGATTGTTTGTTGGTAAGATGATAAAAGAATACTAGGTTGAGTTTATATGTATGCAAATTTTGATTATGATCTCGTCATGTGAATCCTTCATGAGTAACGCTTTATTAAGGTGACTCCACTATTTTTATTATTTTGAAGGTGTTAGTTTACTTTGCATGTGGTGTGAGTGAATCTAAAGTTAGATGTGACAAACTGCGGTCGCATAGTGGAATAGCTGCCGTTATATAATGGTAGCGGCGGAGTTCGAAATCACTACCGTGGAAGTTAATGGTGTGAAGCAGAATCAAACCAATAATAATGGATGTGGCCGCAATTTAACGGTAGCAGCCAATTACAGTAATAGCAGGACGCTATTCCCGCTATTCTATTTTTTAAAAAAATATTTCCATTTTAAAAAACCATAGCGTTTATGATGTTTGCAATCGCGATAAACGCAACGCTATTGCAATCGCAATTTAAATCCCTTTATCTAGTCTCTATTCCCTGTGGAATTTGTGAAAACACAATGGTTCCTTGAAATAACAATAAACAAATAGGTCTATTCTTAATATCCCATGGAAGGAGATGAATCTGCTCTCCACCATTAGAGCTGCTTCGTGAAATTGGAAAAAAAATGTTTTGAGACTTGCAGCTGAATTTTCCCAAAATATCACCAGGTGAGTCATTACACTCGGAACTTCGTTCCTTGAAAAGACCGAGTCAGGAGTATGATTTGGGGCGAGTACTTACTGTTCCTGGTTAGCAAGTTCATCAATTATTTAATAATAACATAAAGAAAAATAGTATCCCCCGTCTTTCTAGCAGTTTGTAGATTCCAAATGTATCTATTTGAGTTAATGCTCTTAAGCCGTGGACTTTTGTATTGATTGATCTTTATAACTGCCTGGAAAAGCAGCCCAGTGCTTCTTAGTGGTTTGCAGAATTTGTGGGATTTTACTGATTATGATTATGAACCATGCGTAATGTTTTTTACTTTTATGTTTTTACAAATTAACAATGCCCATTTTAAATGCTATGGCAGTTATGGATTGCGCTTGCGGTTGCCTCTAATAGAAATGCATGGTTCGGCACAGCAGTGCTAGTAACTAACATGAGAAATTTCCCCCTCAGTAGGGGTACCGTTTCCGGCATCCTGAAAGGTTATGTTGGGATCAGTGCGGCTGTATACACATTATTATACAGCTTACTGCTTCAAAAGTCTGTTTCAAAACAACTGCTATTCCTTACTCTTGGCATTCCAGTGATTTGTTTGGCCTTGATGTACTTTATTCGCCCTTGTGCTCCTCCTTCCGGAGAAGACTCATCGGTTCATGCCCATTTTCTTCATCAGCATCAAATCTTGGATGTTTCTTTGAAAGTGAATATGCCTCGGATGTGGAAACTCTTCTTGCCGTTGGAGAGGGGGCAGTGAGGAAGAAAAGAAGACACCGTAGAGGGGAGGTCTTAAAGTTTTTTGAAGCTTTTGTCAAGGCTGATTTCTGGCTTCTTTGGGTTGTATATTTTCTTGGATTTGGTTCTGGTGTTACGGTTCTCAATAACTTGGCTCAAATCGGAGTTGCATTTGATGTAGATGATACAACAATATTGCTTTCCCTTTTTGGCTTCTGCAATTTCGTTGGCCGTCTTGGCTCGGGTGCTCTTTCGGAACACTTTGTCAGGTTATTTCTCATTGTAAAATTTCGATTTAGAAATTTCCATATAGGCTAAGTTATAAATATTCTCCTTCTATTTTCGAAACCGTTCAAAGAAATGATTCGGGTTTTCTTGCAGGACAAGAGCCATTCCTCGAACATTGTGGATGACCTGCTCGCTAATCTTGATGGTATTGGGGTTTGTTTTGTCCGCCTTAGCTCTCAGTGGCACTCTCTATGTTTCAGCTGCATTGCTCGGTGTCTGCTACGGCTTTCTATACTCTCTCATGGTTCCAACGGCATCAGAACTTTTTGGCTTGAAACATTTTGGCATCATTTACAACTTCATTCTGATGGGCAACCCTGTAGGCGCACTTCTTTTCTCAGGTGTGCTTGCAGGTTACGTTTACGATGCTGAAGCCACTAAGCAAGGAAGCTCCACCTGCTTAGGCCCTGAATGCTATATTCTTAACAATTCGAATACGACCAGTTTATCAGATGCTATATTCTTTTTGTTCCTTTCGTCTTGCTCGACCGTACGACCTCTGAAAAATCTTTTAAGTTATTATTCCCCAAGTAAAAGGTGGTGGCATGCCTGTTCTATGGTTTGGTTTGCTCCATGAAATAGCTTGTTGTTGTCATCATATCTGGTGCAGATTTTGCTGCAGATAATGAGTATATCCCAAGTTGTTTATCGAGCTTAATGATCGTATTCAGAGTGAGGTACGATTACTCACTAAAATCATTGTGATCGTATTCAGAGTGAGGTACGATTACTCACTCAAATCATTGTATCATCTTTTTGGGATTTTAATCCAATATATATACATATTGAACTCAATGAGATGGATGCATGTATTTTTAAGCTCCCCTAAACTCTACCCCTGTTTCTTCTCCAAGCAGTAACATCCCAAGTTATAATGTAATAAAAGAATAGGCTGTAGTTTTTATTAATAGTCTAGACAATTATAAAGTAATATTTATTTAAAATTTTATTAGTATATTGATAATGCACACACCTTGTATATACAGTTGCTCTAACTCGAAATCTTTTTAGAGAACGTCATTCCCTTTTAATATTAAGTTCGATTAATGGGTTTAGAATAAGATGTGGTTTAATTCAACTCATTCACGCAGTTATGTTTAAAATATGTCATTTAGAGTTGGTGTTCCATATATGCAATAATATTTCTTAAATCATATGAAAGAAAACTTAGAAGGAAAGGAAAGAAAAGGAAAACAAACACGTCACTCTAGATTTCTAGGGTTTTTTTTTTCTAGTACAATCTCTACTTTCATCCCCCGGTAAAAACAATCATTTTAAGATTTACAATACAATGGTTTCTTCTTACTCTGCAGATTCCCATACCTAGCAAGTGCCCCTTTTTCTCTCTTTTTCCCAAAGGGACTGACTCTTACCTTTTTCTTTCTGCTATCAAAAGATAAAGGCAGGGGAGACAATTTCATGACTGAAACACCACTAAAGATAAAATTACCAATCTACCCCCAAAAAACACTGGTGGAAACTACAAAAAAAAAAAAAAAAACCCCTCTCTCACCATTGAAATCAAACATAACTGTTTATCCCCAAAAAAATAATAACTGATGTGTGTGGAAGAACCAGCCGATCAGTGATCGACATCATCGTCACATATTGTCTTCCTTGAATGTTGTTTGTAATGAAAAAGAGACTAAAACCGAAAACAAATCTTGTTCAATTTGGTTTCAAATCTTGAAACATAGTATCCCACCTGATCTCTTCAACAGCAGTTGACCAATATCCATCTTCATCTTCATCCATTTTCTCCTCCTTGTGGTAATCAAACACCATGGGACTCGAAAAGCTCTCGACTCGAGCAGGCCTCGAGACCAGCAAAGGAGTCCCATTGGTAAGCAACAGCCTCCCCCCCGGTGTGCCCAACACCAGCTTCTTATTCCTCTTCAACATTGCACCTTTCCATTTATTAGCATATCCGGACCTACTCCTCGGGTTAACCACCACAAGAGCCGACTGATCAGGGCGGCAAACCAACGTCCCGATGTACTTGGCTAAGCTCCTCTTGGTACTCTTGATGGCCAAAAGAAGTCTGGACACAGGCCTTGGGGTCACACCTGATCTGTGTTTCCTGGCCAGCTTGAGGATTTCGAGCCTGTCTTTAGCTATTGAGATGCCCATGCTTTGGAGGAACTCATGGTTGAAGTAAAGTATGTCGTCTTCTTCGAGCTCGTTGTGGGAGAAAGCGAGGGCGTATTCGTAGACTAGGGAGGGGTCAAGGCCTGTTTTTGAGAGCCATGTGAACCAGTCCATGGCACCTTTGGGTGTATGAGTGTTTGTGCCTCTTGTCTCACGGGGGGCGTTTATATAAACCACTAATTACAAAGAAGCCTATACATTTGAATTGGTAAAAAAGTGGGGACACTTCAGCCTTTTATTTTATTTTCTTTTGTAATTGAGTTGTTGGTTGAATCTTGACAGTGACCGAAAGAGAAGGTGGCCTGCCGTGGGGTTTAGTTCAGATGCCCATGCCCCCATTTCTCAACTTCCCTCCAAAATTGGGCAAACTAGATCCTGGTGTTTATGGAGCTATATATATATATATATATATGATATAAAAATTAATTAAACATACACAAATTAATAATTTTTCAATTGTCCCAACTAATTATAAAATAGTATCATTTAAAATTTTCTTATTCTATTAACAATATATACAGATCCTACGGACGCAACTACTCAAATCTGTATATTTTAGGGAAAATCTGTATATTTTAGAGAAAATGACATTCTCTGCTCAAACTCAAATCTTTTACTAAAAAAATATTTTCTTTCATAATTGAAACCACTTAATATATTAGTAATTTTTAAAATTCATATAAAACATATTTAGAATATAAGCAAAATATAAAAAATACATGTTTGATGAAATCAAACTAGTGAAGAAGGTGGACCAAGGATACTTTGTGAAAAGCTCCCAAAATGAATTGCTTGACTGCCCATCAATCACGGTGTGGGAAAGAGAGTGATTTGTGGGGGCAAACACCTCCTTGTTCTTTGAATGCATTTGGAGTGAAAGACAATCCAAACTCTTTTGTTTTAGGATTTCAACATATATATGTATTCAGATGCATTAACAAGTTCTGGATAAATAAATGAAGTCAGATATATTAATGTTTTAGTTAGGGTTAGAGGGTGTTATTTAGACCAAAAGCAGCTCTATTATATTCAATGGTTGCTAATGATTTCACGCCATGCTCTCCCTTCAACTACTCTCGAGGTTGTTAACCTGTGGACTTCAAGAGTTGAAGGATGTTGGTGCAACCATGGGATTACATTTAGCACCTTGTTTCAAAATAATAAACCTACCAAATATAGGTCAGCGATTAAAAAAATATTATTTTTCTTAAGTCACTCGGGTTTAAACAATTGTATTTACATGAGTTTAGTCTAATTTATAGAGGTGAAGAGAAACAACCAACTGGTTTTGTTTTCATAACCATTCAATTGATAGTTTTATTCTTTTATATTAACTTAATTTTGACATTTCTATTAAATATTTCAACCCGGTCTGCAGGGAGTTTTTTTTTTTAAGAGTGAATCAGGTACACGTTTGATTTTTTAATAATGAATATTTTCACTATTTACCATAAATAATAAATGAAAAAATTGGATCGCGAGCCATGTACACGTCTTCTAATTGTAAACTTCATTTATGTAATGCAGAATCTTTAGTTTGGCAATAAAGAAGAAAGGGAGGGTTGGCTTCCAATTTATTGTAATAATATTGTATTAGGTGTTGTCTGCCATCACTAAGTATTTAAATAGTAATTATCACTTCATAATATGTCATTAACATTTAATCTTTTATTATTTATTTATTTTAGATTAATTCACACAATTCAAGAATCAAATGACATTGGTGGTTAAATGGATGGTTATTATCTCTAGAAGTTTCAAGTTTGAGCACCGTGACTGTAGGATATTTGAGCATGTATTTGACCCACAACGTTCATTTTAGAGTAAAAATGTCCCTCCATAAATAGAATTTATTAATTAACAAACAATTAGCATTTCAAAATAGGAGTTTTTTTTACTCTTAAAATAAAATTTTGGGAGATCAAAATACTCTGCAATAAAATAATAAAGATCAAAGTGACTATTTACTCAAATGATAGGGGCTTTTTATCCTAAAATAAGATGTTAAAACCAAAATGCTCTAAAAGAAAAGAATATAGGTCAAAATAACAATTTTAATAAACATTGAGAGACTAATTATAATGTTATATCAGTAAATAAATAAATAATCTCTATCGTCTATTATTATTCATTCAAAAAAAATTAATATAAAATAATTTCTTTTCATTATGTAAATAAAATATAACTCATATAACAATCATTTAAACTATTAATATCATAGTGTTATAACAATTTATGAGAGAAAAAGAAGAAGAAAAAATCACACGCGTGATATCATAGTGTTATAACAATTTATGAGAGAAAAAGAAGAAGAAGAAATCACACGCGTGATGTGAGTTGATTTACACGCAATCGTATTGAATTTATTTATTCATATTTATTATTTCAAAATTTAACATTAAAAATGAAATATAGAGGTTCCCCACGTATATATACACATTTAACGAAGAGTTTATCATTACACTGCGAAATTTGATTGGGAGAGAGAATTTCTGTTAGGGTAAACTACAATTTTAGTATTTCAATTATCACTTTTATTTTATTTTGATCACTTAATTATTATTTTCTTTAAAATCATATCTAATATTATATTTTAGTTTCATTTTGATCACCTATTGTTAAAAAAGTAACAAAACTGGTGACATGGATTTTTATGATGATGCATTATTATCTTATGGTGACATGCCAATATTAATGTTAATGTTTTAGTGGTGGGTGACAACTATAAAATCAAAACGTAACGTTGGATATGATATTAAAAGTAGAGAAAATAATCTCAGTGACCGAAAATACGTTATAATATACGATTTTAACCAACTTTTTTTGGATTTGCCAAAATGGTCAACAAAATCGCAACGCGAACTCTAATTTTTCAACTCAGTTTTCAAATTCGCAACGCGAATATCCAGATTCGCAACGTGATTGTAAGAATCACAACGCAATTTTGAAAAATGTGTTGCGATAGTTAAAATGTGTTGCGAGAGTTTGAAAAACGTGTTGTTGCGATAGTGAAAAAGTGTTGCGATAGTGAAATATCCAAAATAAGTTTACATTTTAACTATTCCAAATTCACGTGGAGTTTGAAACAATAAAGAATGTGTTGCGATAGTGTAAAAGATTCCCAAGCAATTTGTAAGATCTTAGTTTGAAACAATAAAGAATGTGTTGCGATAGTGTAAAAGATTCCCAAGTGTTTGCAATGCTCAATCCCACATAGTATTGGAAACACTATTGGGAATGAGTATTTAAGGCTAGGATTTCCCACTTCCTTGTTGAGTGGAAGAGAATAAGGGGGACTCTCGCGCACCGTCGCCGTCCCGTCTTGGGTCGTGGTCGTGGTAATACGTGTCTTCGACAAGTCGTATTGCGATTTAGAGATCGTATTGCGATTTTTTTGGTCATTTTGGTAAATCGAAAAAAAGTTGGTCAAAATCGTATATTATAAGACATTTTCGGTCACTGATGTTATTTTCTCTTAAAAGTAATTGAGCAATTAAAACGAAATAAAAGTAATAGTTGAGGTAGTTTAACTTTCTTTTAATAGGAACATATAATGTTTTAGAAAATACTTGACTTGAAATTATTATAATTAAGCTGTTTAACTCATGCTCTAGTTTATATTATCTAATCTGCAAATGCAGCATAAAAGAGTTTCTTAAGTTGATTTCTTGACTTGCCTTTGCCTCTTGTTTTTTTTCCAAATTATGACTATTCTTTTACTAAAAGAACATTTAATTTCCGTATGTTAAATTTATATAAATTATTTTGTCAACGTCAACTAGCATCAATAAATCGAAACAAAATAAACACAGAAATAATACATTTAAAACCCTTTATTAAATGCAAGTACTTTTTTATTTGTAAATAATAATTAATAAAGTATGGTCCGCGCTGGACTGCCGTATTATATATCTCTTATGTTATTTTTAGCTTATGATTTAGATAATTTTAGTATAATTTAAATAGCATATAATTAAAAAAAATTAATTGACATTTTTTCTCTCCTTTCTCTTCTACCTTCTTCCCTCGATTATAGAGTGTTGTTTTGTTAAATCTTCTAATTATTAAAAGTTATAAAATAGTCTTTCAATTATAGAGTGTTGCTTTGTTGAGTCACTTGACTATTAAAAGTTACAAAATGGTCGCTCGACTATTTATAGGTTCTCAAATCTTTTTTTTTTGTTAAAAAAATCATTACAGTCTGAGTTGAACGTTAATTTATTGAATAATACATGATAAAAATCTTATTCAAGAATCTTAAAAGACTATTATATTTCAGTCATCATGTTAACGTTCAGTTCAGACAACTGTCAATTTTTAATAGTCGAGAGACTTAACAAAGTAATGTCTTATAGCCAAAAAAATCATTTTATAACTTTTAATAGTCGGGAAACTCAATAAAACAACATTTTACAATCGATATACGATTTGAATTCTTTACCCTTTTTTTATATTAATAAACTAAAAACGTTTATTTCTTGATAAACCATATATTAATTTTAACAATCCGTTATTTTTTTGTCCCGTAAAATATAAGCCAGTATTAAGTAATTAAGTGATCAAATAGAGGTTTGCTCCTTAATCCATTTCTCTAACCTTTTTTCTTTAAAGAAAAGGAAGTTTTAGGGTTCCCTTTGCTAGCAATTAGAGCCATTTTGTGGAGACCTAAATTAAAGGACCGTAAGAGATGGGAAGATGTGGCACCCTAAACTCGTCTTATATTAAAGGGTGGGTCATGATCCTTTATGATTTTTGAGTATACTACTAATATATCATTAATAAAAACCACTACGATCAACAACCATTAATTGACTATATTTAATTTAACATTGTTCATTAAATGTTCTTTTCAGGAAAATAAGCTACACTTAATTGATTTAATAGCTCAAATAGCGAGGCATGTACCCCCGCTACCTAATTCGATAGTTCTACATGGACATGAGGCATAATAGTACCCATAATTCAAAATTAAATAATAATTCAACAAAAAAATGTTATTTTCATTATACATCCTATGCTCCGGCTGGTACAATTATATCATACAATTGTATCTCTTTAATCATTGAGACTATTTGATGAATTAAAAAATTTGAGTAAATTAAAAAAAATATTTAAACATAATTTAATAATTTCTCGTATACTTTATTATTTTTAAAATAAGAA